AATAATGCCTGTATTCACTGTGTGTCCCTTCTTGGTGTGCAAGCCATGTGGGCATAGCCCACTTGTGCCTCCCTCACAGCTGACCTCACCCAGGACCATGTCTGGCACACAGTAAGCACCACATCAGTTTTAGGGGAATGGGCGAAGTAGGAGGGAGAGGATGCCTGGGAATTCCATGTCATGGGGTTGGGAGGTGCCCACCTGGGCTTTGAAGGACAGGAAGAATTCTGCCAGATATGCAAGTGGAAAGGTGTTCCAAGCAGAAGGATTCCACCCAGCAAGGCAGCTGGATTTCCATAGCAACCTGTTCGTCACACTTGCTTCTCCCACGCCCAGGCTGAGAATGTCTTGAGTAAGTTACCTGCTCTCTCGGAGCCTCAGTTTACCCCCCCAGCAAAATGGGGGCATTGTCAGAAGCCTCCCCAAGTTGCTAGGGGAGGAGCCCCTGGATCCTAAGGGGAAGGGAGTACACAGTCGGTGCTGGATAAATGCTGGGGGGACTGCTGCGGGCACTGGGAAAGGGTTAAAGCCGGGCACTTTTTAATTGTCAAATGACTGCGGGCGATTAGTGCTGGCAGCTTCCTCAATAATCGCTCTTCTCTGTACCTGCTGGGAGCTTAATTAAAAAACAAAGAGGCTCAATTTAAAGGCCATTACTATGCTAATGCAGCGGGGCGGGCGGTGATTAAGCAGCTCTGGTGGGCAGCGGGTGGCTGGGGCGGGGCGTGGGGCGATCAGTTACTCACTAAACAGGCTGGCCACAGTGGAGGGGGTCCCTGAGAGTGGCCATGCATGTCCTGCCTTGCAGGGGCTCCAGCCTACTGACCACGCCCACCCCCAGCCTGTGGGAGCGAGTGCCGGGGCTTAAGAGAAATGGACATCACCCACTCCTCCAAGTGCGGCCTACAGAATTCCTTCTGCCCCGCCCCCGGGCTCAATATGGAGCCTCACCCTTCTCATGCACCCACTTCTCAGGCTCGTCTGTCAGGTCCCTGGGGGTGGCTCAGCTGGGGGACAGGTTCTGCCCACCCACGGTGGCTGTGAACAAGCCAAAAGCCAGCCCAGCACAGTCAGGCCACTGACTGGAAGCAGGTCTGAGGCTCCCACATCTCTGAGCATTTGCTCCTCTGTCCCCTTTGGGACAGTCTGCTGGTTGCCTGCCAGGCTGACCTGGGCCAGGGCCCTGGCTCTGCGTGCCTAAGGAAGGAACTCCTATTTCCTGGAGTGGTCCAGCGGCATCTTGAAGTCCTGGTTCATGAGCTCCCGGGCTGGGCTGGTTCCTGTGAGTGTACGTCAGAAGGATTCAAAGGAGCAGAAGCATGGGCGTGTGGGCATCAGACACACAGCAGGTGACTGGTGACACCCCTAGAAGAATAATCCACTGGGCCCGAGGCCTTAAGGGCGACCTGGACAAACTCAGGTTCATTCCCAGGGTGAGAAACAGCCCAGGAACCTGGCACCTTAACCAAGAGGGGGAAGTGTCACTGTCTTTGAGTCTCTGAAAGACAAGAGGGTACACACTTAGGTCCTGGGGACATTTGTACTCCACAGATTACACCCTCAATTTCGTCTTGACCCCATGGTTTTGACCCTGAGCTGATTTTCATCAGCTGCCTAGTAGAATTTGTGATGATAAACTTTGGTAATTTTGTTGGTGACATTGAAAAACATCTTACCTGAGCGTGGGGAAGACTCAACTTCCCCAAAAGTCAGTAAAAATACAACTGACCCAAAGCCCTTCATGTAAAAATCACTGGCTACAAATTAACCCAAGAGTCCAGCAGCAAGATCCAATACGGACACAAACTTGATGGAAGAACAAACCCTTGTTGAAAAAATTTTCATGAAAAGAATCATTTATCTCAATAGAAATAATTTTAGTAAGATAAGAAATGGAAATGTGAAGCCTTTGTAAATTATTTAACTGTACTAGAAAGCAAATTGATCAAAAAATTAAATTGCTTTAATGGAGTTTGTTTCAGAAAACACTTGCTCAAAGCGAGTTTATCAGTGTTGTTATAATCCTAATTAAAATGCTACTGTTCACATACAAGGAGGCCATAATCCTAGGGGTCAGAGTTGTGGCGCCAAAATACCAGTTTAGTCAGCCTTCTGCCCTGCACTGGTGCCCTGGGCCCCACCTGGTGAGCCCTCTCTCATGGTGTGCCCTATTCCCCATCCTACTAGGAGTGTCCTGAAGCTAGGACCCTGGATCTTGACCTACTAATGCCCCCATCACCTGGCATAGTGCCTGGTTATGGTAGGTGTTTGGTAAACTCAATAGAATCAACAATTCTTAATGTTACAATAAAAGGTTTAAAAGGCAGGTAGTATCTGCTCTTTCAAGAAGAAGAGTCATGGCACATGGTTTGGCACAGGGGGTACCTAAGGATTTGTTGGATGGATGGATGCAAGGGCACATGGATATCTGATTGAGATGATTGGTGAATGGATGGGTGGGTGGGTGAGTGCGTGACTGGCTGGCTGGATGAGTGGATGGGTGGGTGGATGGATGGATGGATGAAGGGATGGATGAATGGAAGGATGAAGGGATGGATGGATGGATGGATGGACGGATGGATGAATAGCTGCCTAGGTGACTGTGCGAATATGAAAAGACGGATGGTTAGATGAGGACACAGAAGATCCAATCTGTCCTTGAATGCTGAGCCTCCAGCCTGACTCTTCTTTGTTGCCAGTATGCTCCAACCTGACCTCCTGTCTCTCTAACCTTGCAAATGGACTCCACGTTCTTCATGCCTTTGCTTTTTTTCAACTTCTCCCTCTTAGAATGACCCCTCTGCTTGTCTGACCCTGCAGAGCCTGACTCTGGAATCAGACACACCCCCAGTCATAGCCCAGTCTCACCACTACCCCCAACAGGTTTGCCCTGACACCCAGATCTGCCTCGGTAGGCCCTGGATCCCCAGCCCTTCCTGGGCACATGGCTCAGACCTGACTCATTTCGCCCGTGAGTACCCCAGAGAGAAGCCCTAGAGCCTCTACGTGTCATGGTATGGGGTTTCATACCTTCCACATGTGTTACCAGCCCCCACCCCAACCCTGTATCCTCAGCACACCTAGCCCAGGGCATGGACCCAGCCCAGCTGAGCTAACAGAACCAGTGCAGTGGTCCTAGAGTAAGCATAGTGTTCCTGGGAGGTGGGCAGGGTGGAGGAGGCTGAAGCAGGAAAAGATGTCAAGAACAGGCAGCCAGGAAGCCAAGCAGCAGGCAGAGGGCGCAACCACTGCGTTCCTTTCTAAGCACCTTCTCCTCTAGGGAAAGGAATGGTAGTATCCACCTCGCAGGGGCCCACAGGCCTGGCATGGAGGAAACCTTCAGCCACTCTTAGTGATCACAACAATTAACAATGACCACTGGGTGTGACACCCAGAAGCTGGTGGTTTCAGTGAGAATGGGGAAGAAATCTGGATCAGAGCAGAGGGGTTTGATAAAAGGTGCTCCCCTGTGGGACCAGTATAGGGCCTGGCTCATAGAAAGGGCTCAAGAAATGTTAGATGGCTAAGTGCATAAGTGAATCATCAAATGAACTGAACTGGCCAGGGAAATAAGGAATCAGACCCCAGGTTAGCAAAGGAACCAGTGAGAGCTTGAGGCCTGTGCCCATACCTCCTGAGCTGCCTTGCTGGCCCAGGCTTTCCCACAGCTCCTCTGGCCTGGACTAATGTCCTGAGCCTGGCTGGAGGGCTGATGGGAGGATGGCCAGAGAGATGGGAAGCCCTACGTCCTCACTGCCCTGGACCTTGTCTCTCCCTGATGGCAGGAGGGCTCGCCCTCCTGGGTCTGGCCCCAGCATCTCCAAATGAAAAAGACAGTTCTGCCCTACCCCAATCCCCAGGGATCAGAGCCTAAAGATGGGAGGCCAGTGGTCAGGTCCAAGCCACATGGACACAGCAACTCACTCTGTAGAAGGGTGTGTGAACGTGTGTGTATATATGTGAATGAGGATGTGTGCATCTCTGTGTGTGTCCTCTGGCCTGGAGCTGGCACCGTGTCCCTGGCCTGAGCCCCTCCCAAGCTTCAGATTCGTGGGCACAACTGCTAGGATGCATTTGCATGGCAGACAAGGGAGCAGCACAGGCTATGGCCAGAGCTGTGGCCTCTTGGACTCTCCCCTCCCCCCACGGTGCCCCACTCCATTTCTCCTAATAGGAACTCCATCCTTCTGTTTGCTCAGGCCCCCAAACCTTGGACTCAAGGTTTGGGGACCCTCTTCTCTGGCATCCTCTCAGGTCCCTGCCCTCCTTCAAGATGTGCCCCCAGTTGAACCACTTCTCAGCACCTCCCCAAGCCTCTCCCTGGTCCTCCCGCACTTGGGTCACACAGCTGCCTCGGGAGCTGGCTAAGATGCCAGCCCACTTATATTCCAGCTCTGTTCAGAACCCTCCCACGGTCCCTGTGTTACATGAGCTGCCTCATCCCCAGCTCTGTGCCTGTACCCCCTGCCCCACCCCCCACACACACCTGCTCTAGCCATATGGGCCTCTCATTGTTTCCCCAGCATCCCAGATACACTGTCCTCAGGGCCTTTGCACTTGCCCTGCCCTCTGCTCAGAACCCCTTTCCCTTAAATGTGGAAGATATCTTCACTGGAGTCTCTGCTCAGATGGCTTGCCTCAAGACAGCCTCTAACTCTTTCTAAAATTACAACCTTACACTCTCCCTTGCCTCATTTGTTGTAGTGCCACCATTTGTTATATTGTGTGCTTTGGGTCTATTTGTTAAAATAGATAGGTGTTATTGTCCCCTTACCTATGAGAATGGAAGCTGGAGGGGTGGGGGGGGAGCATGGACTGCCTCTATCTGTGGATTCTACCCAATGTGTGCTTGCCTGCCCAGGCCCCCTCTGGATGGTATCTTCACAGGGTTGAGCCCCATCTCTCTCTGCGGCTGGCCTGTGACCTTCAGTCCAAGCCAGGGGCTCCCTACTGCGCCCCTGGCATGGATCAAAGGGCCAAGGGATGGGATTAGCCTAGCTATGCCTGCAGGCCTCCGGCAGGAAGCGCCGGGCAGCCCTCACGCAGGCCTGGCCCGGCTGCAGGCGGCGGAGCCCTGCGAGCCCAAGCAAGACCCTCTGCCCCTGCGAGCAGAGCGAGCCAGCGAGCGTGGCCGCGCGCATTCCAGCCGCCTGATTGACGCGCACCAGGGTCCCCGCCTGCGGCTCCTGCCGCTGCCACCGCCTGCCTGCCGCATCAAAGCAGATGTTTGCAGCTGGTTTGAGTTGGATCCCCGTCAACAGGCCCCTTTTTGTCTCCAAATAAAAACCAGCTACGCCCGGAATGATAAGGACGCTGCAGGCACGTGGGGGAGATGTCAGCACGTCCAGTCAGCAGGGCGGAGGCCGGCAGCTCCCTCTGTGGAGTGACAGACCGACTCCAGCTGCAACCCTAGCCTCCTGGCTTGTCCAGGGCCCTCTCCCCTTGGCTCCTGGGACCTACACGTCATCTCCCCCTCCCCCCATCAACACAGGCATCACAGCACCACCACGGTGACAACCATCACACCCAAGCGAGCTCTTGCTGTCCTGATGTCCTGAGCACCACAGACTGGTCCTGGCATCCTGCTAACCTCCAGGTGTGGCACACAGAGGGGAACTTCATTATGATGACGCTGCAAGGTGGGCTTCCTGAGCCTCTGCTGCCAAACAGGAGCACAGTTTCCAATGGAGGAGGCTTGTCCCATGGTCAGGCAGCTAGGCAAGCTAACATTCATACCAACTTCTTAAATATGTGTCATGTCCAGCCAGAGGTGGTGGGCATGCCAGCCTGGGCTACAACAGCAAGACTGTCTCAAAAAGAAAAAAAAAGTCTGTCACGTTGCCTTTTCCAAGAAGCCCCAAGCTCTGCTCCAGATTGGCCTTTGTGCCTTGCTCTGTTGCGCAAGCCCCCCACACGCACTGTACCAGTTCCCAAGGGTTGGAATGCTGCCAGACTGTGCCCAGGCATCTCGGGAGCCCTGCGCTGAGCTGCCTCAGGGGCATTTGCTGAGTGAATTGGAGAAAATGCAACAGAGGGGCCGCTGTGACAATGGCCAAGTTGTGGTCCCCACAGAGAGGAGAGTGCTCCAGCAGCCATATGGGGCTCCGGCCTGGAGAATCTCCTGAGCCCCTGTGGTCCTGAGTGAGAGTGACAGAAGTCTGTGTGTACAAAGAGACAGACAAACAGAATATAGACAAATATTCCCACTGTACAGAAGACAAAACTGAGGCTCAAAGGAGAGCTATGACTCACCCAAGACCATGCAGCTGGTGCTTGTGGTATATGGGCTGGGGGCTGACAGGGAGCTTTTGAGGGAGCAGGGGAAGGAAGGAACACAAAACAGTGTCTAAGTGGCCACCCTGAGTCAGATGCCTAGGTCCTGTTTGATCACTTACAGTCAGGAAAGTCAGCCTGAACGTGGCACCCCCAGGTCTTTCTCCATGTGCCAGAAGCAAGGGTGCAGCCGGGGGCAGGGTGGGGTGGTTTGCTGTTGACTCTCAGCCTAACAGGAGGCAACCATGTAATGTTGGTGATGAAAGGTAAGGAGAGTGGACCCCCCAGTTGTATGGATGTGGAGTGGGTAGGGGCTGCGGAGGTCAAGTTCACTGATCTTACTATTTTCTGGTGTTCTTAGACCCCTAGAAGCAGAGTACCTGATATTTTCTTGTCTTTCTCATGGCCCATTCCATTCCTCACAAGGTCGTTTGTTCATTCAACAAATGCTCACTAACTGCCTCGTCAGTGTCAAAGGCTAGGGGGTAAGTGAGGTCCAGGTCAGTAGGGTTTTGGACATGCAAAGAGCCGGAGGGAGGTTGGGATGCTAAGTACCAGGGAAGGCTTCACAAAGGAGGTCACACCTGAAGTGGGTCTTGAAGGATGAACAGGAGTTCAACATGAAGCAAAGGAGAGAGAGACAGAGAAGCAGACCTTGCAGGCAAATGGAGTCTTAGATGTGAAGGAAGAAGGGACTGGCTGGTGACAGGACTGCTGTGGTCTTGAGTGCCATAGTTGGGTCTTGGAGCTAATCCTGAAGTTATTGCATGCTCTTGGATGTTCTGAAGCAAAGAGGGTCTGAAAGCTGACCTGACTTGATATGTTAGCTTTCCATCTCTGTGACAAAATACCTGAGATATTAATTTATAGGAAGAAAAGGTTTGTTTTGGCTCACAGTTGCAGAGATACCAGTCCATGCTCACTTGGCCCCATCTCTCTGGGCTGTGCAATATAGTACATCAAGGTGGGAGTGTGTAGTAGAGGAGGCCTGTGCACCTCATGGTGGCCAGGAAACAAAAAAAGAGGCAGAGCTATGCCCCAGTGACCTAAGTCCCTTCTCCTACGCCCCACCTCTAAGGTTCCACAGGCTGGCCACCAAAATCCATCAGCACATGAGACGTTGGGGGCCTCTTCCAAGCCATAGCATGACTAAGCTTTGGGAGTTTCTCCCCCAAACCTGTTTTCCATATGAACTGAAAAAGAATGCAGGGGTTACAAGGACAGAGGAGGCTGGGACTCACCAGTGAGGACAAACACAGAGTGAGAGATATTCTGAGAACCCAACAAATGGCTACCCAAACTGTAAAGTGCATTAATGGAGCATGCAAATGGCAATGTGTGAAGGAGGGAGCAGGGGAGTTTCTACTCAGCAGGGATGGTGAGCAGTGCCAGGAAGCTTGGAGGATGAGCCCAGCAGTCAGGATCCCCATTGATTGATCCCATCCCTGTGCCTGGCCCAATCTGACAGCCTCCATCATTATCCCGGTTGGATGAATGGGACTTGTGCCAGATCCCAGTGCTCGAAAGTGACTCCAAGCTTGATGTGTGTGTCTGGACACTCAGGGCTGGAGTGAAGACTGCTCAGAGAACCTGGCATGCCCTCGCCATCGTTAGGAGGCCAGTGTCACGGGAGCAATGGAATCAGCCACACTCTGTGCATCTCTGCAATTGTCAATGGTACACAAGAAATTAATCCGATTTGCAATCCATGTTCAAATGCTCCTGAAAAGATTAGTTTTCAGAGTTTTGTTAATCAATCTTTAATAAATTGAGCATTAAACAGTAAACCATACAAACTGTGAGGTGCTGAGGTGTCCTCTCAGCCTGGGACTCAGTGTGTGTGTAGGGGAGGGGTTGTCCCGCAAATGGAATTTCTCACTTTGTAATCACAGATGACCCCACCAGGAGAAAAAGATGTGTTTATGTGTTTGTATATGTTTATATGTAGTGATGTTCCATTTAAAAAAAAAAAAAACAGACACTCAGCCCCTTCTTCTGGGATCAGGCTCATGTACACTAAGAAGCACTGGGGTATACGGTAGCCCTCTGGGGAACTCACAGTCTGGGGGGCAGACACAGGTGAGGTTCCTGGAGTCAGGGCACACTGACGTCCACAGGGCAGGGAAGGCGTGTCTGGGGATGCTGTGTGTGAGGGAGCCACCCTCCCTCTGCCCTTGATGTACTTATCTGTAAGATGGGGATGGGACCGCGCTGTCCTTCGGGGGCTTGGCAAGATGTAATGAGGCAATGCAGAGGGACAGCACTGAGCAGCCCTAGTGATGTCATCACAGAGCCGGTCCCTGGGCCCCAGCCCCAGCAGGCCAGACAAGGTAGCAGGACCAGCCCAGAGCCCAGGAGTCTGAGGGAGGTGTAGTGAGGCCTGTTAACACAGTCAGTCCGGGAGGCCGCTCGCAGAGACCCCAGCAAATGTGGTCCACGAACACATTGTAGACACACGGGGACAGAAGTAGGGTCGGTTTTTATGGAAGCCCTTTCTGTGCCAGCACAGTGCCAAGGGTCTTTCATGCTTCCAGCCTTCCCCACAGTTCTGTAGTTAGCTACAAGTTCCTGTTTTATAGGTCAAGAACGTGATGTTCAGAGAGGTTCAATGCCTTGCCCAAAGTCACACAGCAAGGAAGTTACAGAGCTAGGAGGCTGGGGATGCAGCTCAGTGGTAGAACACTGGGGACTGGATTCAGTCCCCAGCACCACAAAAGGAAAAGAAAGAAAGTTTCAGAACCAGGTTGCAGCCCCAGGCTGTGCCCTCTGTGCTCACTGCTTTAGGTGAACAACTGCTATCTCTACACTGAGAAGCAGGCACCAGTGCTGAGCCCATTATACATGTGAGTAAACTGAGGCTCAGAGAGAGGAATTACTTGCTTGGTCACCAGCCAGCAAGTGGAGGCCCTGGGCATGATTTTAGTATCCCCTACCTGTGCCTGGCCTGCTTCCCCAGTCCCCCCACGGCAGCAGGGACAGAGGGAGGAAGGGAGCTCACAGAGAGGAGGGGACCCCTCCCGCACACCCGTGAGTAGCTCTCACTCCGGCACTTCACAGTAGACAAAGGCAGCCGGGTAATTGGGAGCGAGTTTTTCATGCGTCCCCCCCGATGTTTTATTGGGTGGAGGGATGCTTGGAGACCAAACGGATGGCACATTCTGTTTATAAAGTGTGCGCCGTTTGTTTTATTTCCCGGGTTTTTGCAATCTAGATAACAGATGACGCCCCGAGTGGCTGCGCTGCCTGGTAATGGCGGCACGGGGCCTTTGGAGGAGTATTAATAATAGATTGTGTTGATGAGCTTGGAAAAGTAGCAATCGACCCCCTGCTGCCAAGGCATTACCGCGCTGTTCCAGTGCAGCCAGCACTGTGCCGTACAGTCACAGAATGCAGGTCACCCGCCCACTCTGCCGCCTGCCCCAGCCTAGGAAGGTCTAGATGGGAGATGTAGGATGGGAGACCCCAGGATGTGCTAACCCAGGCCTGGGACCTGGGCCCTGCTCTGCTGGGAGGGGCGCAGCTAGTGCCCACCTGCTCAGGCGGCTGCAGACCCCAGTAGGCACCTTAGCCAGGCACAGAAGGGCAGTGGGGGCAGGGCAGGAGCATCCCCTCCATGACAGCACCTACTTCTGCAAACCCTCAGTGGAGTGCATGGCCAGCCCAAATCCTGAGGGCCTCTGCCTACTGCTGCTGTGGACAGCGGGGCAAGTTGTGTCCTGAAGAAGAACATCTAGCCTAAGGCCAGCTCTGAGCTGAAACTCGGCCTAGGCCCCCTTGCAAAGCCATGCTCACGTGCGCTGGAGGGGGTCCCTCTGGCCTTGGACACAGAGCCTGGCCCTCCAGGCCTTTGCTTACCTGCTCCACAAACACACACAGTCTTCCTTGAGGGCAAGTCCTCACTTGAGGGATCCTGGTTCAATTAGTCACTCACGGGAACTCCACTGTGATACTCACCAAGTTACGTGTTAAGTATCATCAGATCCCAACAACAGCCATTGGGGGAGGTCCTACTGGACCCCCCATTTTACAGGAGAGTGACCTGAGGTCCAGGGAAGCTCAGAGGAGCATAGAGGAGGCCACCCCGCTCCCCTGACCAGGGCATCAGAGAAGGCTTCCCAGAGGAGGTGACATTGGAATTGGGCATTGCAGGATGAGTAGGAGCCTGCCGAGCAGAATATTGGTGGGTTGGCAGGGTTTCTGGGGATACCCCCAAGCTGAGTGCCCTGGCCAATGCCAGGGGAGCAGGCAAAGCCGGAGGTGACCCTGTCCATAGCCTCCCAACAGCTCACCGTGGGTGGCACTGATGACAGCCCTGGGAAGGCAGGCAGGCCGAGAGCCTCGTGTTTATGGCCGTTCCTGTTCCAGAACCGATTAGCAGAGAATTGCAGCTGTAATCTGTGTCCGTGATGGCGGGCCATAAAGAGGGATGGGATGTGCACAGCGCTCCCAAGGTGGCGCCCGCAGACGTGGCCCAGGGACGCTGGGAATGAAAAATGGTTTTAATTCCCTCCCAGCAGCAATAATTTGATTCTTCATAAATTTCTCCATCAAAGTGTTGTCGAGGCTGAGTTCCCACAGAGCGGGCACGTGACGGGCAGGGGGGCGTCGGGAGGAGGAGTGGTCAGCGTGCTGGGAGGGGCTGCCAGCGGCTCAGGGCCCCGCCCGCCCGGGGGTCTCAGAGATGGGGATGGAGCCCTTGACCCGAGGGGCCCGGGCGGGAGGCCTCCCCGGGGCTTGCGATCGAAAGGCTGAGTGAGCAACCGTCCTCCGCACCCCGTTTGCTCCTCGCTAAGATGGGATGGAGGTTCTCGTGTCACCGTGTGGGTGCAAGGACCAAACCGCGGTCGCTGAGCCGGGCCTGCCCAGTAGGTGTTTGTCCACAGACCGCGGAGGAAGGACAAAGCGATGTCGGCCACGCCACAGGGTGGAGACAGGGCGTGGCAAAAGGCTGCCCACCGTGACGGTGCTCTGGAGACACCGCGGCTGTGCTGTGGGGCCACGGCTGGGGAGGCAGAGGGCGGCGAGGGAACCCTGAATGCCAGGCCCAGGGACTTGGAGGTTCTCCTGAGGGCATGAGGAGGCCATGGCAGACTCTGCAGGGAAGCAGCATGGTCAGATATGTGTTTAGAAAGATTCTTCTGGGTCCTGTGTTGGCGAGAAGTGAGGGAGGGGACCAGGAGCCCCAGGTGGGGCCTAGGGCAGCTGCTTCGGCAGGGAAAGAGGGACCCAGGCTGGAGGGCTGGACAGCATCTGGACTGCTTGGATGTGGGGTGATGGAGGAGCAGGGAGGAGGCAAAGCAGGTCCAGGCATGGATGGGACTCTGTTTCTGTCTTCCAACCAGCCTGACCCTGGGGAGGTTGAGGCTGGTTCTCTACCCTGCCCTCTAGTGGCCACCATGCCTGTGAAGTGGAGGGCTCTTAGCTGACCCCAAGAGAGACACCTCTGGGCAGGAGCCCTCCCCCCCCCCACCCTGGGGCTGCTGGGGACCTGCAAGAAGAAGAGGAGGGTTCCAGTGCCCAGGGAGGGCCTGTCCTGCTTGTGCCTGAGGTCCCAGGGGAAGGGGCTCTCGGCTCAGTGGTCTTTGGGAAGGACCCCCGAGCACAGTCAGCACATCTTTGTGCCCACAGGCTCTTCGCGGCCAAATGCAGTGGTTGCATGGAGAAGATCGCCCCCACCGAGTTCGTGATGCGGGCGCTGGAGTGCGTCTACCACCTGGGCTGCTTCTGCTGCTGCGTGTGCGAGCGGCAGCTGCGCAAGGGTGACGAGTTCGTGCTCAAGGAGGGCCAGCTCCTGTGCAAGGGCGACTACGAGAAGGAGAAGGACCTGCTCAGCTCCGTGAGCCCTGATGAGTCCGACTCCGGTAAGCCCTGGCCCTGCCTGAGCTGGGTGGCTGCAGGACAGAGCTGTCCATTGAGGCAGGCGCAGACATGCCACACCCACATGCATGCACACACGCGTGTATACAGTCATACACACCTGTGCACACCACCCCAGCACTCAACATGCACCTCTGGCCACCAGCCCTAAGGCACACACACCTGTACACATATACCTACATGTGGTCACAGGTGTACACAGGCACACCCAGGAGCATAGACACATGGTCATGCATGTGTGCGGATGTGTACTCACATACCTAAGCATGCAAAACCCCACGCAGGCACACACATGTGCATACACACTCACACACAACCAGCACACTCAGGCTGCACGTGCATGGTTGTGTATGTGCTCACGTACCGTGGTGTGTGCACACACATACATGCACACACGTACAGGCTTGTTCTCTGGGACAGGCTGGAGGTGGCTGGCACCTCTGTCATTCCTGAGGGTGGTGGGAAAGGAAGGAGTTGAGCAGGGAGCATGGAGAAATGCCTTATCTACCCTTTGGGGTGTCCTAGACCCCATAGTCTCAGGACCTGCTACAGAGGAGGGTACATCACTGTCGGGGCCACAGTGAGGCAGTGTGTTCTCATGCATCCATCCCGCTCAGCCTTACTCATGTGTGAGTGCATATCTTTAGTCCTGTGGCTTCCTGTACTCCTGAAGAAGGGCAGAGGCTGGCTAGGTGCCCCCAGCCCATCTGCAGGCCTAGGAGAGGGGAGACTGACCCCTCCATGAAGAAGACACTCCTGGAGACAGGAGACCAGTTCAGACAGAAGGCCATGGGGGAGCATTGCCCATCTGTGAGGCCCAAAACCCTGGGGCATGGACATGCTGTGGGTGCATGGTGGGTGAACACACCTGCTTGTTCATGCCACGTGTGTGTTACGTGTGTGCCTATGATTGTGAATTCTTGCCAGTGGCTAAGTGTGCCGTGTGTGTGTGTTCTGTGTGTGTGTGGGGGGGGGAACCTGTCTTTACCTGCCAGTGTTTAGCCCCTGGCTAAACGGAAAGCCACTGGCGTTCTCCTCCTGTCACCCTGGTCCCTGGCTGGTACTGGTCTGGGGCAGTGGACACGCTCCTTGAAGTCTGACGTGTAGGCTGGAGTTTCAGAGTGCAGAGGCCAGACAGGACGAGTCAGGGAAGCCTGGGCCGCAGATGCCACACCTCTCTACAGGAGGCTTTGGCCCTAAAGGCCAACAAATGCACCCTCGTGTACAAGCATCAGTGTGCCATACACACTTCCTAGTGTGTCCACACCTGAGGCACGTGCACACGGGGCGATGTGCCTGCATACTGCTCCCATGCCAGCTCCTTCAGTGCCTTGCTGAACGTGCATGCACCTGTGTGTTACTTCATGTCCATGTGGGCCTGTGTGCTCATCAGAGCAGGACTGGCCTGGGGTCCAGGATAGGGAGGTGAGGAGTGGGGGGGACTTGGAGGAGATGGGGGGAGGGGAGATGCAGGACCAGGTGCAACAGGGCCTGGGGGCCAGGGGAAGGAGTAGACTTTATTCTGAAGGTACAAAGCTAGGACCTGGGACTGCCTTTGGCCCTCCCTGACAGGCTGGATTGTGTCCTCCACAGTGAAGAGTGAGGACGAGGATGGTGACATGAAACCAGCTAAGGGACAGGGCAGCCAGAGCAAAGGCAGCGGGGACGATGGGAAGGACCCTCGGAGGCCCAAGCGACCCCGGACCATCCTCACCACACAGCAGCGAAGAGCCTTCAAGGCCTCCTTTGAGGTCTCCTCCAAGCCCTGCCGGAAGGTGAGGGCATCTAGGTGGGACAGGGCTGGGCTGACACCCCCCCCCC